GAGCTCTGGATATGGAGAACAGTGTGATTGAAGTGCTATTATTATACATTCTTCTAATTCTTGAATATCCCTAAGGAACTAGATAGAAAAAAAAAAGGGGTAAAAATATCTTGGGCCTAAAACTAATGTCTTATGACAAGTTTAATTAATTTTAATGAACAGCTAAACTTTCTATTGTATGCATTTAGATTACTGTTTTAACCAAAAACTAACTTTGTCCCATCTGATTAAAGATTAAGAATTTAATTATGAACCACACTTACTGTTGTGTACAAAAATATTATTGTTTTAATAAGCAACTAAACTTACAAATAATGGATGAAGTTTAAAATTCAAAAAACAATAAAACTTACTACTTTCTGGATTTTGACAATTTCTTTCATGCTGTTTCTGTTTAGCCTCCTGTTCCATATTTAGTGATCTGGAAAAAAAAAAGGAAAAGAAACTAAGGTTTCGATTCATTCTATTGGTGAGCTAAATATCAAAGAAATAATAATATTTATTTCTCTGATTCCCCATGCAATCAAGATAAAGTTAAACAGTATTACATTACAAGAATTCTTCTTATTTAATAGTACATCTAATCTAATAAAGATTATAGATTTAAAACTAATTTAGAGTTTTATAATTCTGAGGTGGATAATTATTTTAGTTATTCTCTAACCTATTCCCTTTGTTCAGATATATTCAAGAAAGCTTCATTTCGTACAATACTAATTAAATTTGCTTAAGCAGAGAAACATGAAATATTATAGCATTACTCAGTTTGTGAAAGTTTTGTCACAAATACTAAAAGAAACTTCCACAGATGATTTTTCATGTTCATGAGGTTGCCTCCATTTCCTTTAATGATTGATTATAATTTTATAATGAGGATCAGTCAACTCCTTATTTTATATTTTGTTGGAGAAGTGTTTATGAATTTACATTTTCCAGCATGTGTATATGTATGAAATAGAGCTTTTTACATCAACTTTTTGGAGAGTAAAATGGGTAGTTTTTAGTTACTGGCAACAATCTGCTTCAGAGACTGGAATCTTTTATTGGATTGTGAACATTTAGGAGTGACAGTAACCTAATATTCTTAAGCAAATAACCTCTGCACTCTTTAAATTAAAAACAACACTGTATAAACAAAGTGACACTTTCAAAGATAGCCTATCATAACAAGCAACATTTTAAACTTAGGTATTCTATGTATCACAACAAGTTGCAAAAACATAAAGACTAAACTCACTATTGTCTGGACAAAGATTACTGTTTTAAACAAGAACTAAACTTATTATTGTTTGGACAAGATTGTTGTTTTAATCAAGCACTAAACTTACTATTGTCTGGATGAAGTTATAATTTTACTCAATAAAACAAAAAGTAAAACACACATTAAAAACTGTTTCTAATGTATTATTTCACCACCAGGTGCCCTATTATACTGCTATCAATAACCTTTTCAACAACATTGTCTTCTTTTATTACATAATGAAAATAAAATAAATCTGGATCCCAGAAGATACCATGCTATTATGAGCACTTTCAGATAAGCCTAAGGCCAAATCTGATAAGAGTACTAGGGCTTCTATTTTGAACTAAGAATCCAACTTTTGAGCAATCTAAAAAAACTTACTGAAATTGCCACAGTGTACATAATTCACAAATTCAATTGAGCTTTAAACATTCTTGTTTTTCAGTAACAGAAAACTATTAGAGAACCACAATTTAAAAAAAACAAACAAAGATATTACAAAAATTAATTGAAAAACATTAAGCACTCTCCTCAAATCACTTGAAATGTGCCACTTTCAACTGTCAAAGAGATAAGCAACTGATATACAGTCAATATTGAATTACTGTACACTTTCTAGAAAATAAAATGCTCTAAATAACATGTAACTTTGACCTTTAATGTACAACCAGAAGAGTAATTTATATTAACAAAAATAAAACAAGTGCCCTTTACTTTTAAGCTACAGCACTAAAAAAAATAGTCTTTATCACATAAAAATAGTATTGTGGGAAAAACGTAAAGGATGGTGGTCTTACTCTTTTCATGTTTACTAATACTTATGAGGCCTGATAAACCAACAAACGAATGGCATTGAACACACAACAAACAGTGCAACTAACACAATGACATTATAGATCTAAACATACAGATTATTATGGAAATGCATATTAAATGAGAGAAAAAAAGGGATAAACATGTTATATTCTGAGCAAAACCATCCAGAATGATAAAAAGGAACGGGCTTTATCGTACTCGTTGTTATGTTAAAGTGCACATGGACATCACGTTATTTCATTTCCTTTATACATGAACGCGTATTCAACAATGCATAACGATAGTTTAGCCAAAAAATAAATTACGGTTCAGTCTCATTGTTATTTTTTTGTTGTTGCTACTCGTTCAAGTTCCTGCTTCTCAATATAACGTACATGTAACTGGCAAAATCGTTCAACTTCCAGGTCATAACAAGTCACATGTGCAACTATTTGAAATGCATATATGACGACCACGAGGAAATAACAAGCTTGTTCAAACGCTTGCTTTGTTTCGGAAAAGTTGATATGGTCCATATGCTCTATGCGATGCTATACCGGAACGAAAACTTTTATTTTCCACATAATTTGAATTTCAATTTCTTCATTTGTAGGTTATGTCTTTAACGTGTTAATTTAGACACAGGTACTTTATACTTCATGGAAACTGCAATTAGGTACACTGTTACAAATTATAATTACGTAATATATTTTGTAGCAGAGTAGTTCTCTCGTTGGCAGGTTCATTTTCATTATCAGGTGGAAATAATTAATTCAATGTTTAATCCATGTAAAGATAATAAATTACTCTATTTCTTCTTTTAGTATTTCTACAAACTTGAACAATTGTACAACATCGTTACTTGCGTTAGAAATTACTTTAATTAATGTCAAACAAATCGATTTATTTATACCGGGATAGCTAACACACTCTCTATCTTGAAAACTATCTTCTTGGAACAACTCACTCTCTACTAAAATTAACGACGTCTGCTATTAGAACTTTCTAGAGGTTCTACGCCCTCTAGCTAACATAAGCAAAATTAAAAATATAGCTTAAAACACCGCCCTTTCCTGGATTGTGAAGTCCCCTGAACAACCCTAATACAAAAATAAATAAATAAAATAACATAAAACACTACACTAATTTGTCCATTCACCATGTCGTTTTGGTGGTTTTCTACTCTGAGGCCTATGGTATGCAGATGGGATGGCATCTTGTCTCTTGTTGTCCTGTTGCTAGGAGTTCCTGATGGTCAGGTGAATCTTCTAGTGACTCTAACCTTCATGATCCTCTGGCAGTAGTCTCGACAAGAACTCAGGGCTCCTTAACTGTTTGAGTTTCCACTGAAAAGTTCTTGTTTGAAGTTACCCAGTTGGCCATTCTCTCACTGATCTACTTCCAAAGGCAATCATGGTGGATGACCTTTGGTTTGGATCACATCTCTCCTGAACATCTACTTAACTTTATAGTTTGTCCTCTCTTGCGACTAGAACTGTTCAGTCACACCCTGTCACCTCTATTGAATCCAGTTTTATCAGCACTTACAGTATAATTACCTTTCACTTTATCACAAGATGATTTAAGTCTTTCCTGGGCAAAGTCATGTAAGCCATTTTTATTCTTCACATCCAGAACTCTTCTAATCATCACTTTCTCATAACTTGCTAGAGTATTTGGTTCCACTGTGCCTCAGTCACCAGATGAAGAATTATTGCTATTAATTCTTGATATGAGTATATCATTTTTTGGTGGCACGATGACCACAGTCCTTGTTTCCACTAGAAGTTCAATAAACTGTGAAGCTAGCCAAGCCCCACATCCATATCTTCACATGAAGTCAGTTCCCAAAATGCACTCTTCCTCAATGTAAAAAAATCCAAACATCATGAGGCACGGAGAAGCTTTCTATGGTAAAGGTAACTTCAAACTTCCCTTTTGCTGGAACTTTATATGCCCACCTGCTGTTTGCATCAATACCTCTTCTTTCTTCATCTCCGGAGGCAATTTCCCATCTTTCATTAACAAATTAGAGCAAACAGTTGCAGCTGTGGAACCAATGTCAATCAGCATATTGCAAGGTTTTTCATCAATAAGACTGTGAACTAGTCGATGATTTTCCTCAAATACCGAACTTCTTTTCTCATTAGTTATAGACAGAGTATATCCAGCCAAACTTTGCCTCAAAAATCCAATTAATCCCTGTTTTCTTGATGTCTCACTCTAACTAAGCTAACGACACTTCACTGAACGTCGTATTTATAATCAACTTTCGAATATGCTAGATTGTATGTTTGTTATGAAGCATAAAGCTACACAAAGGGCTATCTGTGCTCTGCCCGCCACGAGTATCGAAACTCGGTTTCAAGTGGTATAAGTCCGAAAACATGCCGCTGTGCCAGAATATGCTAGAACAAACTTTGATGTCAATATTAGAACTTTCTAGGCGTTCTACTCCCTCTAGCTAACAAATTATAACATTGAAAATAAACTTACAACAATATTTTTTTATATAACATTAGATACTGATCTTTGTGACTTTTTACAGTCTAATTAAAACAATATAGACATTGAAATTTCATGTTCACGTCTAACTACATTTTTAAGCAAAAAGTGTTAATAAAACATTACATTCATATATATTTCCACGGCTATCTATCCTGGATATCACCACGCAAGAAACATTTCTTTATAAAAGAACTTTCTAAATACAGCAGGCTATCAACGTAACTATTACACACAAAGTGAAAAGTAACAACATAAACACGCACACTTGTATATATATATATACATACATATATATATATTAAAAAACTGTGATGACTGACAGAACAATTTTATAACATGATCAATGCGTCGTTCCAGAATCTAATCTGAAAAAAGGCTACTGTTAATTATTTTAGTTTAGTTATTGTTAAACTCAAAGCAACAGAAAGGATTACCTATGCTCTGCCCAGCCCAGGTATCGAAACCTAGTTTTTAGCAGACTTCCCGTCGAGTCACTGGAAGGCTTTGCTTTAGTTTGCAATCATGTTATATGTAAAACTAACATATTACCAGTGCATTACAACACACCTAACATACTATCAATGCACTGTTAAGTACGTAATACTATCAGTGTTGGCTAATCCTTTGATAACAGATTTTTATTCTCTTTCAGTTTATATATATGTACTTGTGAATAAATAAGATTGTTTGTTTGTTTGTTTTTAATTAAGCACAAAGCTACACAATGGGCTATCTGTGCTCTGCCCACCACGGGTATCGAAACCCGGATTCTAGCGTTGTAAGTCCGCAGACATGCCGCTGTGCCACTGGGGGGCTAATAAATAAGAAATCAAGACACAAAACGCAGTTGAAACACACAGGTCAAGACCGTACTT